CATACACCACACACCATACACACACTACACACCACACACACCATACACACACACACTGCTCACCACACACTACACACACCACACACCACATGCACTATACACACCATACACACAACACACAAACACACACATACACCACACACACCACATACACCATACACACACACTATACATACCACACATCATACACACACACACTGTACACACAACATACACCACACACACACCACACACCATGCACACACACACACCACACACCACATACACCATACACACACCACACATACACACATACCACACACTACATACCACACACACCACACACTACACAACACACACACACACCATACATATGCACACAGCACACACACCATACACACACCACACACACACATACCACACACACCACAAACACACATCACACACACATTCACACACACCCACACACATCACACACACACCCACACACACCACACACACATAAACACACCACACACACACACACACCGCGCCACACGGCAGGAGCTCAAGTTCAGGTTCTCGGCCATCCTGGTACCGGAGGCTGGCTGCGGCCGCTGGGGTCTCTGGTGTGTTTCCCAGGATGGCAGGGCTCGAGAGATGCGGCCGGCCTGTGGCTCCGAAAGCCCTTAGTGTAAAAGTGCCATTCGGACAGAAAGAACTCGCGGAACGCACTGCAAGTGAAGACAGGCCCGAGCCTCAGGAGGTGCAGGGGTGCGGGGCATGCAGGCTGCTGCACCTGCAGGCCAGGCTTGGCGCAACCGCCTGAGGGCACGTGCCTCTGCAGGTGCGCAGGAGGCCCTCCCTGGACACTGGCCCTCCCTCGGCCCACCACAGTGGTGAAGGATTAAGGACACCACACACTGACCATCCCCAGCCCAGTTCTCGCTGTGCCGTGCTGGGTGCAGGGACCCCCGCTTCACCTGTCCAGGTGTGCACCCCGCTTTCTGTCTACAGCATCTCTCTCCCACTCTTCTCTGGAAGGCTTGTGACCCACCTTAAGTTTCATACTCCAGGGCTGAGCGGGTGGAGGGTCTCACTCGCCCCCTGGCCATGGCGATTCGTCTCTGGTTGCCACGGGACTCGAACTGGGACAGTCAGAGCCAGCTTCAGGAACGCCAGTGGGCCTCCCAGGAAGAGGTCAAGTCTGGAGTGCGCTGCTGCTGGCGGCTCTCTCTGTAGAATGGGCAGAGTTGGCCCGAGGATGAGGCCAGCCCAGCAGAAAACGTGTCCTCGTGACCCGTGGAGCCCTCGGCCCAGCCGTATCTGAGGCCACAGCTCCTTCACCTTGCTGTCTGTCTGAGCCGATGCATTCCGTTTTGGCCATGTCTCGCGTGATCAGTGGAGTCCTCGCCATGGGAATACCTTGGGTTCTGATCTGCCTGTGGTCTCACTAGAACCAGGAGGCAGGCTCAGGGCCATCTCCGGCCATGCGAGCCGCCGGGGAAGGAACAGGTTACAAGTCGCCATCCAAAGTAAGGGGCAGAAAGACAGCCCTGGGGGAGCCTGGTTTCTGGCTTCGGGAAGCCCCGTGGTTCTCTGTGGGAGTGTTGAGTGTGGGTCTGGCAGCCTGTGGGCGGCTCCGGGAGTGGCAGTGCCGCAGCCAGCCCCGTGCCCTCTCCTTCCTTAGGAGTGGCACGACACCACACCTTTCTCCCCTGATAGGTGCACCGTGGCCAGCCAGGTCTTTCCTTGCAGCTCCTACACCTGCTGTCCCTCCTGCCTGGACCTGTGTGCCCGGGTCTTGACCCACACAACTCCCATCCTTAGTGTCATCAATGCCATCTTATCAGCCACGCCTCCCCGGACATTCCAGAAACGACTGTGTGCCCCTGCTGGGCGTGCTCGCAGACCCCACCACACCCCCTCCGCCTCAAGCCCTCAGCACAATCAACACCAGTTCTCCCTCCACGACCCCTTCTCTCTGAGCCAGGTCCGGCGGCTCGGTGCGTGCGCTCACAGAATCACCCGTGTCGGTTAATGCCACACAGTCGCTGTTTGTCTGTCCCAGGCTCCTCTTGTGCCTTCTTGTGTTCTTTTTTGCCTTCATCTACTGTTCCCACTTCTCTCTGCCTCCCACAGGCAGGCACTTCAGCATCTTCAAAATAAATCCTTCCAAGCCACTTTCCAAGGCTCATGAGACACACACAGAGTTGTTCTGTGAGTGATGCTTGAAATTTATGTCAGTGGAATTGGGCCATCCATCTCCGTCTAGTTCCTCCTTTCTTCATGTCACCCCCACTTGTAAGGGCTCTCCAGGATGATGTATGCAAACCCAGCGCACTGTGCATCTGTCCCGCCTGTTGCATATTATGTCATCATTGGCGTCTATCATAGTCGCTGTATCCCAGGCATGGGCTGTGTGGGTCACCTTTGCCTCCGTGCTGTGCCCAACTCGGTCACCACCAACATCCCTTATGACTGTATGGGGAGTGGCTCTAGGACACGTCCCCGGGAGAGGTATGTTACCTCCGAAAGACATGTTGAAGTCCTAACCCCCGGGACCTCAGAAAGCAACCTTGTTCATGATCAAAGCCACTGAAGACAGAATTAGTTAAGATGAGCTTACGTAAGAGTACGATGGGCCCCTAATGCAATCCGACTGCGGTCCTTATTAGAAGAGGGAAAGTTACTAGGGGAGGGAGAGACACACGTGGACGATGACACGTGGCAGAGATTGGAGTGCTACAGCTCTCAGCCAAGGACTGCCGAGGGGTGACATCTACCATCAGAAGCTAGGAAGAGGCAAAGAATTCCACCCAGAGTCTTAGAGCAACGACAGAGACTTCTCTGAACAATTGGGTCTTAAAATTTTCTGAGCAATTTCTCTCGATGAGGAATACTGGTGGTTTGCTTCATGCTTATATAGATACATGCTGTGAGATAGTCATCTACCTTGCTTTCTTTCCACCTGTCTGTCCTTCCATCCATCATCCATCCATCTATCCCCTCATTCTACAGACTTTTATTGGGTACCTATTCAGTGCTGGAGTCACAATAATAAAAAAGACCAACAGGTCTTTGCTGTCATGGAACTCATTGGTGGGGAAGAGAGACGTGAGTAATTACTTAGTTGCAGGCTTGGTAAGCTCTGTAAAGGAAAAATGCAGTGCTTAAGTGGGCAAAGGTGACACGGAAGCGGAAGCTGGGACTCACCGAGGAGACGAGTGCAGGAAGAGCCCCCCACCCAGGGCAGGACAGGAGAACAGGCGTGTGGAGTCTGAAATGGGAACCCACTTGGAGCTCATGAGGAAGTGAATCCAAGGTGGCCCCGCTGGAACCGGGAGAGGACGGAGAATGGCCTGAGTGAGGCATGACCTAGCGACTGTCGGAGCTGACATCTTCTGTGTGCTCCCGGGGGGACGCCTGGGCAGTCAAGCCCTACACCCGCCTGGGAGTGGGCACTGGTTCCAGCCCAGCCCAGGGGGCTCCCTCACTTTACGGACTGAAAAATGGGCACAGCAGCACCCACCCATAAAAACGTGAACAATAATACAAGACCCCTGGCAAACCTCAGGGCTTCCTGGTGGTGGTGGTGGTGGTATAATTGTATAAATCCATCTGTTTTTTTTTTTTTTTTTGTCATTATTCAAAAATCCCACAAGGTAGTATAGCACGCGGCAAAACCCAAAGGCTTGGCTCCACTCTGCATCTGCCAGTTGTGGTCTCCCTGGGGCTCTGTAAGCTGTGCAGGCTGCTCTCCCGGCCCCAGGGCCTGACTCTGAGCCGGGAAAGGTGGCGCCTTACAGAGGAGGCAGCAAAGAAGCCACGAGGTCAGGTCCCCTCCCCAGGTCACACCGTGTACGGGGCAAGAGGCCGGGGGAAAAGGCAGGCTTCCCACCTCTTGGTCTTCTGCCAGGCACATTGGAGGCAGCCCAGGGAGGACTCCTTTTCCCTGTAATTGGGAGGACCACTGGGAGCTGATTCCTCCCCAGTAGAGTCACGGAGGGGAGGGGAGCACTTGGCTGGGGGTGGCTGTCACGCAGGCGGTGGAAGCAATCAGCTGGCCACTGGGTTCTGTTTCTCTTGGGCTGCTCCTGTGCTCCTGGGGGGCAGGGTGGGGGGC